GGTGGGGTTTAAGCCGGCCACGGCTCCATGGTATTTGAGCTTTTGCAGTGCCAAATGCAGCTCGCATCACTTTGTCCGCTAAGCCGCTTCGCGTTCATCACGAACAATGTTTCACGAGCTGATACTCTTTGCATACTGCCGCATAAACCTAATGAGACTAAATACCATAGACCCATGGCCTGCGTAAATGACCGCATACTCCCTCAAGGCAACAAAGAGCAAAGATTGCAGCAATACGCCATAAAATCCGGTCTTAAAAGAGTCATTAGCATATAAACATACTCGGGCGTAAGAACAGCTTATGATGTTTTCGCGGTAGCATGTAGTGAGTACCGGCTACTGAAATACTGTTCTTAATAAGCGCATGGTGGCGCTATCGTGCAAAATGATACGAGATGCATCCGACACAGTGGGAACTCATAATGCCATGGAGGCGTGGCCTGCTTAAACGGCCTCTTTGGTAAGCTGCAGCAAGAGGGTGGTACAATACGTCGTGAAATCTGGTCTTCGAAGAGTCATTAGTTAATCAACTGTTTATGAAACGTTGTTTTTCCTTCTTCCATGATCCTTACGCTTCTTGGAAGCAGTGAAACGGATGGTCTCTGTATAGAAATGTTGTCATTCCACTCACACTCTTAACACTTTATCCTGGGTGACAACGCGATTGTTATCCTACAGTGATTAATCGCCATTCATACGGTAGCTACTGTTGTAGGGAACAATGTTTGAGTGCCGATTTGGAGGTTTCGAAATGAGCAAAAAGACGATTACGAATACGACGTTTGCAAATGACGTATATCACCGCCAGAGATCACCCGCAGCAGTTGAATGACAGCGGTAGTTGCAGAATTGAGAATAGCTAACCTCAATAGTCAGAACATGGCAAAGTAACAGAATTTGAAACGTCACAAAACAGATTTATCAGTTTACAGATTTGAAAATGAGAAGATCACAGAGGAAAATCGCAAATTTCCTAAAGCATTATAAATGCTGTACAGAAGAAAGTTCTGAATCGCCGGGAAAATTTTCCGAACTAATCAACGGGTTGTAAACAACGAGCTGGACAATTCTTATTTACAAATTAAGAGGAATATTTGAACCTGAACACGTGCACAAGAATGGCGACTTTCTGGTCGAGGTCGAGTTATTCAACAGGACAGATGTTAATGCAGAGACCAGGTTGGACGGATTACGTGAGAAAGTGGACATGCCAAACATGTTTCGTGTCACAAAGTACCAGGATTGTTCAGTCTACAGATGGTTGGGCTCAGATTCTAGAAGGGCTGAGTTCAACCTCTAGTGGTACTACTCTCCTTTCGTCATTCTAAGGTAGATAAATGAGTACCATTGTATGGGGAGGAAACAAGGACGTACACGCTACAATAGTCACTGAGCTATGGATGTCGCACTGAAAAGAAAGCGGCAAAGCGCGCCAGGTTGGTGAACCAACAATGAGGGCCACACCGTAAGATCTATGAAAGAAGAGTTCCACAAAACATAATCGGCAGTCATGGAAATATAAAGGAGACTGACACTCACACGTGACAAAATTTCTTTTTTGCCATTACGCACCATGAGAAATGTAGAAAAAGTGACGCTGCTTCAAAAGGTGCTGTTGTAATTTAAAAAAACTATCGGATGAACTCAGAACCCGGCACATACTTTGTTTTGATACAATGGCCCAAATAGAAAATGGAATATTCTAGAACATTTTCTGGTTTGAGAATGCGCTGGAAGCCAAGACAAAACCTGGAAACTTTTATTCAGACAAAGGTGATTTTTATGGCGGCAGTGAACGATTTCTGATGTCTGTCTTGAATGCAATTTCTAACGGTACGGAAGCACAGATCAGGACTCACTCTACATGTGAGTTCTGTTCGCCTTAGATGAGGATTGCTGAAGTATAACCGGTATCACGTAGGCGTTGCCTGAATAAGCAGAATCGTAAAATATACGAACCACAACGTTCTGGCATAAATTGTCAAATTCCTCTTTAGTGAAGATTTCGACAGTTTATGAGCAAATTATTACGATTTCCTTATGATTCAGCGCATAACCTTTTGATGCAAGACTAAGATTTCAGCTGATGCTTCCCACACTTATCAACTACAAGCAATATACATAAGTATGATCATAAGAAATTGTGAAAAGGTAGGGTCGCTGTTTTCTCTCTGCTGAATGCATAATTAAGTCTGTCCATGAGGAAAATAAACGGCTTCATATCTGTTCATGACGTTGGCCTGCTCCGGATGAAGAGCACTTCGTTATCGAGGTTGCGAGCCTTTGTCACTATGATCAGGTATTTAAAATGGGTACTCTGTCCCACGAAAACTTTTCGAAGACAGTTTATTCCTCAATAGTCTATTCTTAGATAGCGTTAATGCGCGGTGTGGCTTTTCCTGCTTCAGCATAACCCTCCTATTAGCGTTCTGTATCTCCAAATATGCAGCCATACTGGAGTTAAAGGTTTTCTGAGGTAACAGCCAGTTATTGAACGAATACACACCAATGCCTCAAACGCAGAGTTGCTAGACCTAATTATAATAATATCCATAGATAAACGATCGTACTGATTATGCTCACTGACCAACTCTATTGCCTTCTTTTCAGTTTCTGGGTTCAATTCAAAACTTAATTTAAAGAAGCCTATTTCTGCACATGAACGTGGACGAACGCTATGACGAAGCTCAACTGGAAACTCTGATCGAAAAGAAGTTGTAACGTCAGCAATGAACCAGAGATAAACACTCGAACAAAATTAGGTAGAGTGATACATTAGAAGTTCGCCACATCTGAGGCATCAATTCAAACAATAGCGACGTGAAAACGAACAGCGATGAGTCCTCAGTTCACCCGTTGATCGTTTCCAGTCGATTCCCGTTAAACATTTGCTCAAAATTTATGCAAGGCACGAATGTTGATAAATTATACGAAAATGTCATGCCGCCAGCTGGACAGCA